TTACAAGCACGAGTCACTGCACCTGGCAGAAATAATGTTTTACCAGCTATCTGGGCATCCCTTAACCTAGTCAAGTTAACACAGAAAATTACTCATTACCAAAAGAGAGTAGAAGGAACAATAAACTGTTAATAGAATTAGAAAAAGAAGTGAATATAGAAATAGAAGTAGAAATAGAAGTAAAATGTTATTAACAGCCTGATAGAAGGTATAAATAAGCCTGGGGGGCCAGGCACAGTGGCTCACAGCTGTAATCCCAACACTTTTGGAAGGCCGAGGCAGGCAGATCACCTGAGGTCAGGAGTTCGAGACCAGCCTGACCAACATAGAGAAATCCCATCTCTACTAAAAATACAAAATTAGCTGGGTGTGGTGGTGCATGCCTGTAATCCCAGCTACTCAGAAGGCTGAGACAGGAGAATCACTTGAACCTGCGAGGCAGAGGTGGCGGTGAGCTGAGATTGTGCCATTGCACTCTAGCCTGGGCAACAAGAGTGAAACTCCATCTCAATAAATAAATAGATAATAAAATAAGCCTGGCATGTTCAGAGAACAGCAGAAAATAATGGACTGGGATGGAGTGACTTTGGGGATGTGATAGGAGATAAAGTTGGGAAAGGAAATGGAAGTAAAATGTTATTAACAGCCTGGTAGGCCATAGTAACAAGGCTGGATTTTATTCTAGGATAGTAAAGATTTACTGAGAAGGACTGAATTCATCTTGGGTAGTAATAATGAAATCAAGCTTCCCCTATTAAGTTTTTATAACAGACTTCCAGGTAGTGACTTCTGATGTCAGCATCAGGTCTTCCTCTGAGTGATTCAAGGAGCATATTCCGAGCAGTTCAGTCTGAATTCCCCCATCATGTTACCCTTTCTTGTTAACCCATTCAGACTTGAACTGTGATGTCTCATGTTTGCTTTAAGGCCTTCATTACGACTTTTAGTATTACTTTTAGCGGCAAGAACCTCAATTACTTTTGAACCAATCAAATATTTGGTTTTGCACTCACCCAAAATATAATATTTAAACACTGAGCATCATTTGATTTCACCAGAGGTTCATTTTGCTCCAAGATGCTTTGAAAAATGCTGCCTGTGGCTGAACAGTGCTGCAGCACTCTATCTTTCTGGACTGAGCGCCGCGTGGATGTGCATTCTCTTTGATGGTTATCTTCTCTTTGCACGATCTGTAGTGGTGGTTTGTGGTTCTCTTTGATGACTATCTTCTCTTTGCACGATCAGGGATGTTGTTTTGCCCCTGACGGAATCTGCCTTCTTGGAAGCTAACTGAACCGAATGTGACACTTCCTGTGAGATGCCTTTAAACATCCTCTTTCATGTTAAAGGCATCTTTAACATCCTATGAAATTACTTTCCTATGAAATTACTTCATTCTTGATTCCATGTTATTTAGGCTAATAATTGGGGCTTTGCAGTTTCTGAATCCTAGCCCCTACCTCATTTCCCAATCCCTGTACTTACTCTCCTGCACCTGTAGGCTCTTAGATCCCGACCAGGCCAGCGTTCTGTTCCCACGTCAGTAGGAGCATGTGCTCCACCCTTGCTAGTTTCTCCCAAGGATGGAAATCCATTTCCCTTCCTCTCACTGCTGCCACCATAATCTAAGTGTCCAAATCTCACTTGGGTTATTGAATTAGCCTCCTAATTTCTCTCTATGTGTGTTGCCCCCCAGAAATCCATTCTCCATATTATGTCACTTCCTTGCTTGATTTCTTTCAGTGGTTTTAAATCTAGCATAAAATCCAAATTTCTTATCGAGATCTAGATCTCTGAGGCCCTCCATGGACTGGTCTCTGCCAATCTTCCCGTCTTCTTCACTCAAGCGTCAGCCACCCTGGCCTCATACTGTCTTCCCCACACTCCCAGTTCTTTCTGTCCTCGGGGCCTCTTGCTATTCTTCTGCACCTCTTCCGTCTTTGTATGGGGGTCTCAATCCCATCGACTGGCCTTATCTGATCTCAGACCTGTATCTCCAGAACCCATGTGGGTGTAAAACCAGACATTGAGGGGATAGATTACTCCATAAACTTATGAGATATTATTCTGTTATTACACATGAGGAAAACTGAAGGTTCAGAGAACTTAAATAACATATGTTCAAGATTATAAAGTAGAGGCCAGATGCGGTGGCTCACACCTGTAATCCCAGCACTTTGGGAGGCCGAGGGTGGATCACGAGGTCAGGAGATGGAGACCATCCTGGCTAACACGGTAAAACACCATCAATACTAAAAATACAAAAAATTAGCTGAGTGTGGTGGCCAACACCTGTAGTCCCAGCTACTCAGGAGGCTGAGGCAGGAGAATGGTGTGAACCCAGGAGGCAGAGCTTGCAGTGAGCTGAGATTGGGCCACTGCACTCCAGCCTGGGCGACAGAGCAAGACTCCGTCTCAAAAAAAAAAAGATTATAAAGTAGGAAGGAAGCAGCATATCTGGGATTTGAATTCAAGCGACCTGTCTCACAGTGCTCAAAATGGCTATACTATTCTTCCTGCCTCATATTTTAAAAACATAAATAATGTTGTTTCAGGTTTGACTCTAGGTGAAGTGGGGGGAATACAATTACATCAGAATTCAGTGCTGGAAATAGACACTTCAAGTGGAAAGGGATTTAATCATGAGAATTAGGTACATTCACAATATTAATAATGAGGAGAACTGGCGTCAAAGGGTTGCCACTGGACCACTGATGTCAAGGGCATGCCACCATAATTGTGGTACAAGATCAGGAAACTGCTCTGAGGAAAATACCATGTACATTGCTTGCTTTTCTCTGCATGTACTTCAGCCTCACACAGTGGTATCTTGTAGCTAGTGTTATAACTGAGTCATGCCTAGGCCTTCCCACTGTTCTGTAAAGTCAGCTACATCTGCACATGTTCAGTTTTTAAAAAGTGATCTAAATATATGATTTAAATATCCAAATATGATAAAATATTAAATCTGAGTAATGGATATGTTTGGGGTATTACATAATATGATTTTTTTAATTAAGAAAATTCTTATAGTTGACATTTAGTAAAAGAAACCCTTATGTTTCAGATTTTTGAAAAATATACAGACAACAGCCACATCTCCATCAACAGGGCTGAAAGACAAACAACACTGAGAAAAATATTTGCAGCATATATAACAGACCATGATATACATTGAGTCTTTGTAAATCAGTAAGAAAGCAGTGAACAGACCAATTTAAAAAGCAATAAACGCATGAAATGGAATTACACAAAAGAAGAAATGCAGTATCCAATAAGGGTGTGAAAAATAATAATCACTAAAAATTAGTGAAATACAAATAAAAAACACAATGAGACATCTTTTTATTTTAACCACAGATTGGCAAACATAACATTGGCAAAACCAAATGTTGGCAAGACAATGAGGAGACAGGGACTTTGATGCACAGATGTTTGGTGGGAGTGAAAATGGGTATAACCTTCCTCAGAAAGGGTAGTTTGACAGTGTGTAAATGTGAAGGCATCATCATGGGACAGTGATGTGAGTGATGGAAAGCTACCAACAGAAAAGTTACAGAGAATGTAAATGCTATAATTCATGGAGATGGTTACATAAAGTAGAATACTCGCAAACAGAGTAAGTTTCCCAGACCCCCAATCCCCAGTGGAAAATACACCTGCCCATGATACTTCCCAATATTTTCTATACAGAGTGATGAGTCTGCCAGGGACAAGAAGCTTACACCCTCCCATTCTTATGAGATCCTTATTCTCCCTGGCCTCCTTTTGGGCTATCTGCTTACCAGGGACAAGAAACTATTACAAAATAACTTGAGTCTCTACCACCAACATGGATTGGATGAATTGAAGAGCCATCTTCCAAGTATACCTTTTTTTCCTGCAAAACCAAGTCTCAGGTCTACCTGAATTTCATCCCTGCAGGATCAAAATGTAATGGGTGCCTACCACTGGTCTCAGAAATCCCACTTCTAGAACTTATCTTAAGAAGGTAATTGCATAAATATCATAAGATGGATGATTACAGATATTCACTGAAGAGTTTCTAGAAATGAAAATTGGCAGAACTGAACTGCTCATCAATGGAGACTAAGTAAATTATGCTACAGCCATATAATGATCTCCTCTGGAGCCACTAAAATATATGTGTACATGTTGGTATTTGTACCTCTATGCATAGAACGTTTCTCAAAGTGGTCGGGGTGAAATTGAAGCAAATAAATGGGTGGCTAGGCAGGTGTCAGAGAGACTTCATGTATATACTTTTATATGTTTAAAATTTGAACCCTACGAATGTGTTTATTTTAAAATTAAAGTTAAAAAGTAAATACTGGCTGGGCATAGTGGCTCACACCTGTAATCCCAGCACTCTAGGAGGGTGAGGTAGATGGATCATCTGAGATCAGGAGTTCAGGACCAGCCTGGCCAACATGGCGAAACTCCATCTCTACTAAAAATACAAAAATTAGCTGGGCGTGGTGGTGCGCGCCTGTAATCCCAGCTACTTGGGAGGCTGAGGCAAGAGAATCTAATGTCTTGAACTCAGAAAGAGGAAGTTGCAGTGAGCTGAGATCATGCCACTGCACTCCAGCCTGGGTGACAGAGCCAGACCCTGTCTCCAAAAAAAAAAAAAGTACAGAGAGAGACAGGGAGAGAGAGGAACAGAGTTGCCTGAAGAGACAGCCACCAGAAGTTATAGCTATTATTTTAGGGTAGCAAGATTTGACCCAACACATTTTATTCCTTTACTTTTCTATATTTTTTGAATCTTCATAAGCATGTATCATTTGTGGATGTAAAAAATTCAAATTACAAAAGGAAATTACATAACTATAATAAAAAGATAGTAAAGCCCAATTTTCACTAAAACTTTTTTTAGGATCCCTCTGCATGATGTTCCTTGAACACGGCAGTCCCTGGCCACTCCACTTCTATTCCCAACCCTTGCTTCTGGAACTCTATCCTATGAGTTTTCATTTCCTTTTTTATTTTTCCCTCAGAGTTGCTGATGGAGTGATCAAAAGTGTATTATGGCAAACACTTCAAGCTCTTAATTTCTGTCATATACATAACGTAAGTAACATTTTCTAATGTATTTATTCATTTCTTCATGATGACTCTTCTAAATAGCTCAGGGTTTTGTTCAGAGAGCTGAAGACAAAGGGAAAGTAAGAGTCAGAGAAGCAAAACAAAAGGAAGTTCAGCCAGTAGTCCCAGCACTTTGGAAGGCAGAGGTAGGAGGATCAAGTGAGCCCCAGAGTTTGAGACCGGCCTAGGGAAAGACCCTGTCTGCAAAAAAGAAGAAAAGGAAATAACAAAAGAAAGTTCAAAATATGAGAAAAAAGTGATGCATTATTCATGACTCTTTCCAATTTCTGTAAGAATCAAATTGCTAATTCCTTACGAATTAAAAATGTGAATAAATGTAATGATTCCTTTTGCCGTAGTGCCAGTAACCCCTGAAACTATTTTTAAATTGGGCTAGAATAATTTTTCAGGGCCGGTGTGGTGGCTCATGCCTGTAATCCCTGCACTTTGGGAGGCCAATGTGGGCAGATGGCTTTGAGCTCAGGAGTTCAAGACCAGCCTGGGCAACATGGAGAAACCCTATCTCTATGAAAAAATATAAAAATTAGCCAGCCATGGTGGTGCACACCTGTAATCCTAGCTACTTGGGAGGCTGAAGCTGGAGAATCACTTGAACCCAGGAGGTGGAGGTTGCAGTGAGCCGAGATCACACCACTGCTCTCCAGCCTCGGCGACAGAGTGAGACCCTGTCTCCAAAAGTAATAATAGTAAGTTTTCAGGATATTGCTGGTGTAATCCCCCATGGTACTTTTTTTTTTCACTATTATTTTTATGTCTCTTAAGTTCTTTACCCTATAGCAATCTAAGTCCCCCTTTCCTTTCCTTTTTAAAAGCTGTTTCCAGCCAGGCGTGGTGGCTCACGCCTGTAATCCCAGCACTTTGGGAGGCCAAGGCGGGCGGCTCACGAGGTCAGGACATCGAGACCATCCTGGCTAACATGGTGAAACCCCATCTCTACTAAGAATACAAAACATTAGCTGGGCGTGGTGGCGGGTGCTTGTAGTCCCAGCTGCTAGGGAGGCTGAGGCAGGAGAATGGCATGAACCTGGGAGGCAGAGCTTGCAGTGCGCCAAGATTACACCACTGCACTCCGGCCTGGGTGACAGAGTGAGACTGTCTCAAAAAAAAAAAAAAAAGTTCATGAATCTTTTATAGCCGTAGTTCTCAAGCTTGGGCATGCATCAAAATCACTAGGAGGGCTTGTGAAAACACAGCTTCCTGGGCCCCGTCCCCAGAGTTTCTGATTCAGTAGGTTTGAGGCAGGGCCCCAGGAATGTGCATGTCTCCTATTTTTCCCAGATGCTACTGAAGCTGCGGGTTCAAGAACCACACTTTGAATACGACTATGTTAGAGAAATAATTTTGGCTGTTTCCTGTACGTAACTTAACTTGTTCTTTCACTTGTATTTCCTGTAAATTGGAGTTTATATCTAGAGGCTTGATCATATTCAGGTTCAGCTTTTTTTAAGATAAGAACGCCTCCTATGTGGTGCTGTACACTTCCTGTCGCATCCCCATCGTGAGTGCACAGCATCCACTTGTCCCACTTTCAAGAACGTTAAAATTGATGAGTGGGCTCAGGAGGTATTCGTTTGGTCCCCTCGTTATCATTTTCCCTGTCAACGTTGTTTCCCTGGTGGTTTTAGCATCCAGTGATGATTATTGTCTGCATCTAGTATTTCATGACAGTGATTTTCTAATTCTGTTATTCCTTCTGCATTTAATAATTGGAATTGTATGGAAAAGAACTCACCCTCATGGATTCTGGCTACTTTTATTTATCAACACTCAGGGTGATGAGCTGGTATCTTAGCAACCGTGACAAGTTTTGGGGAGAGGTGGCTGGAGCACCATTATAAACACAAATTTTGTATTGTGGTGTTTTCAATTCTTTGCTGTTATTGGTCTCTCCGATGCTCAGATTTTCCCATCTTAGGCCAATGAGAGCTTCTTCAAGTTGGCTCCTGGTACCTTTGCTCTATATCATTATATTTTTGCGACAGTCTCACTCCGTTGCCCAGGCTGGAGTGCAGTGGCGTGATCATAGCGCACTTGGGCCTCAAGCTCCTGAGCTCAAGTGATTCTCCCACTTCAGCCTCCCTGAGTAGCTGGGACTACAGGCACATGCCACTACACTCAGCCAATTTTTGTTTCTATAGAGACGGGGGTCTCACTATCTTGCCCAGGCTGGCCTCAAACTCCTGCCTTGGCTGCCCAAAGTGCGAGGATTACAGGTGTGAACCACTGCACTCAGCCAGTGATAGCTTTTAAAAAATATATCTAGCCCTTTTGAGTTGGTGCCTAGACAGAGACAGTGCTGAGGGAATGATGCAGAGTACCATATGGTCAGTTTTGATGCCAGCAGAATGTCTATCAAAGCAGTCTAGGATTGCTGAAAAAGAAAGTATAAGATTATGGGAATACATTTCAGTATGGAGGGGAAGCTTTCTTTACTTTTAGGAAAGTCAGTGAAGTTTTTATTAGGTTAAATCAAAAGCTTTTATTTTCTATTAATGTAGAGGAATATTTTTCACAAACTATGTAAACCTATTTTTCATGATGCAAATTATGCTTTCTGATACTTAATAAAGATGATGCCAAATGGAATCCTTATCTCTTTTGCTTTCCACCATGCTATAGGAGGTATCAAAGTTGCTGCAGGAGTTTTATGGGTAGTTAAAATGATTTCTAAAAATACCACTTACCACAAGTGTTTATCCCTACATAACCAGACACTTTCCGGGTACTTGGTTATAAGCTTGAATGCAATGTCTGTGGCTGCTTTATCTTTGTATCTCTTTAATACCTAAATTGGATATTTTTATATAAAGGGTGCTCAATAAATGTTTATTTAATAACTGGATAGATGGATGGATGGATGGATGGATGGATGGATGGATGGATGGATGGATGGATGGATGGATGGATCAATGGTTGGTTGGTTGAATGAGTCAATCAGTCAGTCAACCCAAACTGCCTAACTGATTGTGACTATTTCCAGTGGACCCAAACATTTTTGTAGACCAATGCAACTGCCATCATTTCTGCACTTGGAACAACACATTCTATACCCGAAGCTTTAAAACACCGAAAACTTCTGATTGATAATATGTGGACTCTATTAAAAACAAATACTTTTTCAGGCCAGGCATGGTGGTTCATGCCTGTAATCCCAGGACTTTGGGAGGTTGAGGTGGGCAGATTACCTGAGGTGAGGAGTTCAAGACCAGCCTGGCCAACATGGTGAAACCCTCTCTCTACTAAAAATACAAAAATTTTCCGGGCATGGTAATGCATGCCTGTAATCCCAGTTACTACTCGGGATGCTGAGGTGGGAGAATCACTTGAACTCGGGAGGCAGCAGTTACAGTGAGCTAAGATCAGGCCACTGCCCTCCAGCCTGGGTGACAGAGCAAGACTCTGTCTCAAAAAAAAGATAATTTTTCAGACAAATTTGCATCCTCCAAGATGGAAATTCCTTCTCATTTTCTTATGGTAAGCCTTTGTGTATCTGTCTTTTTATTTATCTATAATTAACATGCATGCAAAGAAAAAAAATCTAAGCCATATATAAAGCTGTCACAATAATACAACTAAAACCTTCATACTCTCCTTATTTTTAAAGGAACTCCCATGATAGTCTCAAAGGATAGAAAAGGCAATCTGACCCAGTGGTGTTGCTGATGACTCACAGCTTTCAACCTCTAGAGACCATGTGTACCTTATCATCTCCAGAGTCGAGATCCTAAGCAGGACACTGAAGGTTAAAGTACCAAGGGATTCAGGCCTTGCTACTCCAACTATGGTTCATAGAGATCACCTGGGAGCTTGTTAGAAATGCTGACTCTGAGGTCCTCTACAGACCTGCTGAATCAGAGTCTGCATTTTAACCAGAGCTCCAGGTGGTTCATGTGCACATTAAATTTGGAGAAGCGCAGGACTTAAGAAAATACCTACTCATTTGGTTCTGTTTTACCCTATAATATCACTAGAGTGAGGTAACGAAAGTGATCCATTTAACACCATAATGATCCCATGGATTTTTATATATTTGCTGTATTGATTAGAGAAAAGGGGGAAAGGGGCTTCATCTCAAAATGGCAAAAATGACTTCTTTTTTTTTTTTTTTTTCCTGAGACAGGATCTTGGTCTGTTGCCCAGGCTAGAATGCAGTGGCACCTTCACGGCTCACTGCAACCTCAGCCTCCCATGCTCAAACAATCCTTTCACCTTAGCCTCCCAAGGAACTGGGCCTACACATTGCCACCATGCATGGCTAATTAAAAAAAAAATTTTTTTTTTTTGTAGTGATAGTTTCATTGTGTTGCCCAGGGTGGTCTCAAACCCCTGACCTCAAGCGATCCTCCCACCTTGGCCCCCCAAAGAGCTAGGATTACAGGCATGAGCCACCATGCCCAGCTGGCAAAAATGACTTCTGAGATAGGAGCAGGCCAGGCTGCAACCTCCATCAGCATCTTGTTGATCCTTATGTTTTGGTTGTTGAGGAGGGGTTCCCTTTTCTCTCCTCGCTGTATGAGCATCCATGCCTAAGGCTCCAAGAGAATAAATTTATCAGATAATAAAAAAAAAAA